CTAATAACAATACTTGTATGCATAATGATGAGTTGAATCATGTTAAGGATCACATATCATCTTTAGATTCAACCCTTAAAACATGTATTGTTAATCATGATAAGCTTATGAACATGTGTGCTAAGTCTCATGCTAAAACATCTAAACATCCTATTCATCATGCACACATGTATAGCAAAGTCTACAAATGCACAAATTGCGGTCGTAAAGGCCATCTTGCTAGATTTTGCTATGATGCACATAACCCCACCAAGATTCACTTTAATCCTCCTTGTGCATCTCATCAAGCTTCATCATCACATTTTGCACACACACATGCACATGCATCTATTTCTCATCATAAGCATGCTAATGTGTATAAATGTGTTCTATGTGGTCGTTTTGGCCATTTGGCAAAGTTTTGCTTTGATTTGAAAAAGAATTCTAGTTTGCCAAATGTTTCTAGTAGAACACATGTTTTTAAATGTGATGTTTGTGGTAGATTTGGCCATTTGGCGAAGTTTTGCTATGATTTGAAAAAATGTTCAAACTTGCCAAATTTCTCAAGTAAACCACCTTTGCTTAAAAATGTTTTACACTTGCAAAATAATTTTAAAAGACCATCCATGTTTGCAAATGATTCTAATGTTTCCCGTGCACAACCGTTTGGTCAACATAAGCAAATGCTTCCTTTCCATTGTACTTATTGCAATCGGAAGGGTCATTTGAGTAATTATTGCTATGACTGATCCCGTGCACCATATATGTCCAAGAGGGTTCATAACCCTAGGACTTTGAGCTTTAATGATAGGGGTCATGTCCCTAATCTCTTAGGTACCAAGAGTAATTTGGTGCCAAAATAATTTTTAAAGCCAAGAATTTTAGTGTTTTTTTTCTTTTCTTGATTTTGAAAATTATATCTTTAAAATCTTTTAGTTATGAAAACAATTTTTCTTGTATCAAAATCTTTTGTTTTCATGATTATTTTTTTTGTTTGATGAGAGGACTATGTTTATATAACCCTCCGGATTTATTGGGTGTTTATTCCCAAATCATGTTTACCGGATGCTAGAATGATTATATGGGTTGAAACAAGCTTAAGAGCTTGATATATTGTTGCATCTCTTGAAATTCTTTTGTCAAAGAGTTTGTTTTGATTTATTGCTTTGAATTCATTATATTTCACTTATATGATGATATTTATGTGTTTGTGCTTATGGATCATCTATTCGTGCCTTATAATGTATTCCATATGTGGTTTGATCAAATCCCACAAAGAAAATTTTCTTGATTGATCAAACATCGTTTTTGGATTTAAACTTTGATTTATGATTTCTTTTGGTTGATTTGTTTTCAGTTGAAAACTTTTTGCATGATTCTCATGTTCCTCTTCTTTTGATTTCATAAATCTATTCTTATACATGGTTTTTTATAATGAGACACTATCTTTATAATGTCATATCATTATGTGTCCTCATTGTATCTTGTTTGTATGTGAGTGATGCTTAGCATATCTTTTCATTTATGCTCGCTCACATATTTGCCATGATCTTT